GGCCTGCGGCGCCGTGGCCCCACCTTTCCCCGGCAGCTGTGGGGTGGCGGCAGACGGCGACGCCTTCCCTTGCCTACAGTACCCGCCGCCCACGCCTAACGCTCACCACTGCGCAGTCGAGACAGTCACGTGGACTCGTGTGAACCCCGCCCCTCGGCATCCCCCAGGGACAGAGCCTGCATCCCAGCCCCGCCCATCGCCCGCGGGGCGCAGATCCCATAATGCTTTGCACCCGGTGAGCAAGGAATTACGGCTCACAAAACCCCGGGAAGGAGGCAAAACCCGCCGCCCACGCCTAACGCTCACCACTGCGCAGTCGAGACAGTCACGTGGACTCGTGTGAACCCCGCCCCTCGGCATCCCCCAGGGACAGAGCCTGCATCCCAGCCCCGCCCATCGCCCGCGGGGCGCAGATCCCATAATGCTTTGCACCCGGTGAGCAAGGAATTACGGCTCACAAAACCCCGGGAAGGAGGCAAATGTCTCCCGGACACAGCTGGGCGCCCGAGGCAAAGCAAAACCCCTGAGGCAATGTGGCCAAGGGGCAGATCTGGGAATGGAGCCAGGAGTCCTGAGTCCCAGCCCCCTGCCGCAGCCACCCCCTCCTGCTCCTGAGCTGGGCACAGGGCATGGGGGTGCTGAGAGGCGTCCGTCGTTCACGGGTTAGAAACGCCTCCGAGCGCGCGGGCTCCGGGAGTGTACAACGGGCTCGGAAGGGACCAGACCTCCAGGGCCTGGCCCAGGGCCCACGGCCCCACCGCTCCGCCACTTCTGGGGCAGCCAAGAAACGTCGCCCCGTTAGAATTTCCCTCTTGCCCAGCGGGCGCCTGCAGCATTGACCCTGCACTGCCGGGGGGGGTCTAGGGGGGAGATTAGGAAAAGCGACTTCCCCAGGCGGGTGGGGGACGCTGGGCTGGGTTCCCTAGGGAGGGGCTGGCGTCTCCATTCTTGGCGATGGGGAGATTTCATTGGGATGGGTCCTGCTTTGGGCAGGGGGCTGGACTCGGTGCCTCCTGAGGGCTCCGCCCGCCCCAGGGCTCCGTGATCCTATGAGAAGTGGCCAAGCACACGGGGCGGGGGGATGGAGAAGCCGACTTTTTGGCAAAATTCCCAGGGAGGAGTCTGAGCTGCAGGGACCTCGACATTCTGCCCATTGCCAGGAGTCAAGGGGGTCTGCACATGGGGGAAGTGCCAGGAACCCACGGTCAATTACACCCCCGCCGGCACAGCCTGCAGCCGGCCCTGCAGCGGGTCCCATCGCTCCCTTCCTGCCTGGTCTTCTCCTCCTTCCTCTATTGCTGGGAATGCTGGACGTGAGCAGCACAGCTCAGTGAGAGGGGGCCCAGCCATCGGGTTTATCAGCTGGCTCCTAGCCCGGCTCAGCCAAGAGAGGAGACCAGGGGGATGGGTCCTTTCTAGAACCAGGTGCCAAGCCGGCTCATTCCCAGGCCGTTGAAGTCACGGGGATTTTTTCACCAGCGTCCTAGATAAACGCAGAGCGAGACGCTGCCCCCTCCGCTCTGACAGACAAGCACAGCCTGGAAGGGCACAAGCTAGAGCACTTGGAGCCAGAATCTTGGAAAGCCGACAGGTGGGATTGAACCTGCGACCTTCGGGGCTAAAGCCACGAGACTCTATGGCATGATCTGAAAACCCACCAGCTCCCAGCTGCGGCCTGGAGCGAACTTCCCTTGTCAGTGGCCTCTGGGTTACACAAGCCCGGAGTCTACCCCGCCCTGCCCGGCTCCTGACAGGGGAGCGCCCAGGGCAGCCTGGCCCTTCCAGCCCTCAGCCACCCCGCGAGCAGCCTCCGGTTCGGTCCCCGGGAGCTCACGGCAGCCTCCCCCCCGCCTGCTGCCAGGCACAGGAAGTGGCCCAGCCACGGGCCAGGCACTCACCTGGAAGACGTCGCTGGCGCACTTCCGACACAGGTTGTGCTGGCAGGGCAGGATCACCACGGGCTTGTTGAACATCTCCAGGCAGATGGGGCAGATCAGCTGCTTCTCCAGGTTCTCCATGGGGCTGGGGTCTCGGATGATGCTGGGCTGGTAATCCATGGCGCTGGGCGGCCTCTCCAGGTATATCCCAATGCCGGTGTCAGCAGCTCCTCAGGGAACTCTCCCGGCTCCGCCTGCCTTCTTCAGCTGCACCAAGTTCTGAGCTCAGCTTCTGGCTCCTTCCCTGCGGCTCAGCCTGGGCTCCTGCCTTTGCCCCTCTCCCTGCCTATTTATAATTTAGGGCAGAGTCACATGTGCTGGAGAGGGGCTCGAGTTTCCAGCGGCCTGCCTGTCACATGGGAGAATGAGCAATCGGTGCCCCTGGGGGGAGCGGGCTGTAAACAGGGCAGGGGACGGCCTGTCCGGGGCTGGCCCAGCCACAGTTCCTGGGATTTTGCAGTGTCTTTCCAAACAAAGACACTGGAGACGCAGCTGTAAACAGAGTCATCCCCCTTGTGACCCCCACCCGGCCTCCGCGTCCCTATCGCAAAGGGTTAAGTGACCCCCTTAAGAACATCAGAGCGGCCAGGCTGGGTCAGAGCAAAGGCCCATCCAGCCCAGTGGCCTGTCTGCCCACAGCGGCCAGTGCCAGATCCCCCAGAGGGAGGGAACACAACAGGGAATCCTCATGTGATCCCTCCCGTCACCCATGTCCAGACAAACAGAGGCTGGCGACACCATCCCTGCCCAGCCTGGCGAACAGCCATTGATGGACCTAACTTCCAGGAATCTAGCTAGCTCTTTTCTGAACCCTGTTAAAGTCCTGGTCTTCACCACATCCTCTGGCGAGGAGTTCCACGGGTTGACTGTGCACTGAGTGACGAAAACCTTCCTTTTGTTTGTTTGAAACCTGCTGCCTGCTAATTTCATGTGGTGACCCCTAGTTCTTATATTGTGGGAAAAAGTCAATAACTTTTCCTTATTCACTTTTTCCACACCCGTCATGATTTTATAGACCTCTGTCGTATCCCCCCTTAGTCTCCTCTTTTGTAAACTGAAAAATCCCAGTCTTTTTAATCTGTCCTCTATAGATGACAATATGTAGATGCTGCCCTTTCCTGACCCCTTTCCAATGCCAAGAGATCTTTTTTGAGATGAGGTGACCGCGTCTGTACACGGTATTCAGGCTGTGGGTGCACCATGGTTTTATAGAGGCAACGAGATATTCTCTGTCTTACGCTCTGTCCCTTTGCTAATGACTCCTAACGTCCCGTTTGCCTTTGTGACGGCTGCTGCACTGCGGGGATGTTTTCAGAGAACGACCCACTGGGACTCCAAGATCTCTCGAGTGGTTGGAGCTAAATTAGCCCCCACCGTATTGTCCATGCAGCTGGGATTGGTTTTTCGAACTGGCATTGCTCCAGCACCCGCCCTGTTCAGCCTCGGCCCGAGGTCCCTGCTGGGCATCACAGATTTCCACCCAAGCCCCACAACTCCCCCAGACTCTGCTGGCTGCTCCTCAGACCGTCACAGCCCCCAGCCCGGCCATGGGCCCTGCAGGTAGCACCAGACACCCCCAGTGCCAGGGGTGGGGAGCCGCCCGAGGGCACCTCCCAGGCCTGGGACTCGGGGATCCTCCATTGTGTTAAAATCATCGAACCCCAGAGTCGTAGGATGGGAAGGGACCTCGAGCCTCTCGGCAGGGGCAGGCACCGTCCGAGC